TACTATTATGGACTACTGGACTCTTTTAGAATATTTTGCTGAGTTAACACACCTATAATATTCAAATAACGGAACTAAACAAAAAAGGGGATACAGATGAATGTCCATTTTGTATCTGTGTATTCAAAATGGTTAGGATAGATATATAGTTACATTCTCTTAATACAGGGATTTGTTGTAATAATGAATAGAGGGATTTGTTTGTAAATAGGATATCATGTCTGCATCTTGCATAGCAAATAACCACTAGGAAGAGAGTATGCAATGTGTTAATTATCAAAACTGCCCTACCAATTTGATTTGAAACTGTCTCATTGCTATTTGTTTCTCAAGAAAATTATAGGAAAAAAAAGAAAAATACAAAATATAAAATAAATACAAAAAGAAAAATCATCAAAGAGATGGAGCCAGTGAGATAGCTCAGTAGAATAAATGTTTGCCTGGCAAGCGCAAGGTCCTGAGTTCAATCCCCAGTTCCAGAAAAAATAAAAAAAACTTCGAAGGATAAAACATAAAAAAAAATAAAAATATCTTAAAACTCATCAAAGGCTAGACAGTGTACAGTAGTGAAACACTGGAGAAGACTCTCAATGGTCTTAGCAAAGTGCATGCAAATCTGGCTGCAGTGAGACAAGTTTTGCACTCACTTTGGAGGCCAGAATTAAAGACGGAATCTCTACTGTCAAGGGGAGAGAGAGATCAGGCCTCTCGAGTGTTGCTGGAGGGAGTCTACAATGGTACAGCTACTTTAAGAAAAAGCTTGAGAGTACCTCTAACGTTAAAAATAGTTACCATAACAACAATATGCAATGTATTAATTACTGTCACTGTCCTACTAACCTGTTTTGAAACTCTCATTTCTATTAAAAGTTACCATATAGGGCCAGCCAGATAGCTCAGCTGATTAAAGCTCCTCCTGTGTAGGTAGATGCAGGGATGGGTTTTGATCCCAGGCTCCACATGCAGTGCAGACCCAACCCCCAGCACGCGCTGAGACAGCAACTGACACTGGGCATGGTGGCGCGAACCTGTAACCCCAGCACTTGGGAGGCTGAAAACAAAAGGATCACTATGAGTCTAATCTGTGTAGTGAGACCCTATAGACCCTGCACTAAATACATAACAAAGAAAAAAAAGTTACCATACGCTGTAGTAGTCTAGGCCTCTAAACTGAGAAACAGCACTGCATGTCCACACAGACGTGCACAGGAGTGTATCCAGCAAAGCAGCAGAAATACCCCCCTGGTGGCTGCAGAGACAGCATGCAGCCCAGGGCACAGCCCTGTGTTGGCACACAGTGTGACATTGTTCAGCCAGAGAAGGAAGGACAGATCCGTGCTACCTGTGGCCAAAAACTGTGGAAACATTGCCCCGAGGGAAAGGCGCGGGCCACAGGGACCGAGTTATGGGTGACTCGGGCGTTGGCGAATCCCTAGGGGCTGGCTGGAGCCCAGCAGGGCCTGGAGGCCCGGCGCAGTGGGGAGACACCAGTGCTGCCTCAGCGCGGCCTCTGAGGGGTCACTGTGGGGTTTCTTTTTGGGACCATGAAAACACTCTAGAGTGCTGGTGGTTGCTCAAGCTTTTGACTTGAATACTAAAAATGGTTGACTTGTACGCTTCACACAGGCTGACTTTGTGGGATACAACTAATAGCTCGTGAAACCCTTAAAGCAGTAAGCTTCATGCACACAAGTGATACCAGCTTAGAAAAAGGTAGATGTGAAAATCCCATTTACGGTAACAACAAAACTGCTCGGAATACATCTACAGCAACATACACGAAATCTAAGAAAAAAATGATACAGTAGTAGGTCTTGATTGATTTTTCTCTAATACTTTTCTCCATGTGTCAAAAAATGTATAAACGTCCATTTTGACTAGAAACAAAGCATATAGGATATATGGTTTTTTGGTGGAACCGGGGATTGAACTCAGGCCCTTGTACTTGCCAGGGAAGCACTTATTCCACTGAGCCATCTCCCCAGCCCTGTTTTTTTCTCTAGGAAGGGTAGGGGGGTATGTAGTTCATGCTGGCCTTGAACTCAGCAAACCTCCTGCCTCAGCCTCCCAAGTGCTGGGACTACAGATGTGGGCCACTCTACTCCGCTGAGCACAGTTTTTAAATTTATAAATCAGGCCAGGCATGGCGACACACCTTTGTGATCTCAGCACTCAGGAGGCTGAGGCAGAAGAATTACTATGCATTTGATGCCAAGCTAGGCTACAAAGTGAGCTCAAGGTCAGCCTGAGCTGCACAGCAAGACCTTGTCTCCAAATCTAGGACATACGTTTTTAAGGTGCAGAAAATAAAACATTCCTGGAAATCTTTTTTTTTTAAGTATTTTCTCCATCCAATTAAGAAAAAAAAATTTTTTTTTGAGACCCAATCTCACTGTGTAGCCCAGGCTGGCCTTGAACTCATAGCAGTCCTCTGGCCTCAGCCTCCTGGATGCTAGGATGTCAGGTGTGCGCCCCACATCAAGCAGCCATGATAATTTATAACCTTTCCTCAGCTACTGTAGGCTGCAGTGCTATAAACAACTATTTTTCTAATGTCGCTACAGTTTGGATCTACAATTGTTGGCAAAAGGCTGTTTAATGCTTAGCCACAGGGGGCGCTATTGGGCGATGGTAGAAGCGGGAGGTGGGGCCGAGTGGGACCGTGGGTCCCAAACTCCTTTCTCTTCCTCTTTGCTTGTGATAGGAGCCAAGGTCTGGGGTGGGGTTTTGGGAGGTTTTCTTGTTTTTTTTTTATTTTTATTTTTATTTTTAAATTTTATTTTAAAGAGAAAAAACTCAAAATTTCAAAACAAGATAATAAGGTAGCAGGGGTTAATACATGGCATATTCTTTATATTAGTTATTCAGGGTACAAGAAATAAGCCTTTGATTGTCCAAACTATATTAGCACAAATCTTTCTATTCAATGAACTAAGAGACTCAGTATAATCACCTTACCTCTCATATACATATGTATTTTTCCCTTTCTTCTTTTCTCCACTGCCCTATCCTCCCTCTCTCTTTGGGAGGAGCAGCCGGCTGAGCATCCGCCCTCCTGGGTGCCCTGCCCACCGCAGGCCAGAAAAATGGGGCCAGCCAGTCGCAGACCAGAAGTTCAAAACTATGAGCCAAAATGACCTTCTTTCTTCATAAGTTCATTATCTCGCATACTTTGTGATAGTGACTGAAAACTAGCACGGAGAAATACCCCTTTGTCAAACTTTCAATCGATCAGAATCATGTTTAATTTTTTTTTTTTAATCTAAAGTTCTGTCTATTTAAGGGAAGCGTTCCCTGATGCAGACTGGTCCTGTCTTTCTTACAGCCTCACAGTTAGAAACCAAGAAGAGCAGAGACCCACGAGAGCTGCCCACGAACTCAGAATAAGCTTCCCAGCCTGTGAAGAGAGGTGAGCTGTGGCCTCTAAATTCGCAACTCCATGCCAGCCTTTTCTTGTTACCGTTTGTGTTTCAACTGAACATACACAATGTTTCTACAATTTAATAGTATCCAGTGGCAGCATGGCACAGCTTGCCCCAGGCAGAGCCACTTTTAATTTTGTGTTAAGTGGGGTTAAGAGGGGCCAATTCCAAGCTGGGTGAGGTGGCACACCTCACTGCACAACACCCAAGAGGCTGGCGGAAAGGCTGTACCAGAAGCCCAGCCTGGGCAACCCCGTGTGTGTTGTAGGGAGAGCCTGGCTCTAAGAGGTAACAGTGGGCTGGAAGGTAGCTTAACACAGAGGCCCTCAGACCAAGCCCTAGTGCTGGGAGGGAGGGAGGAAGGGAGGGAAGAAGAGGGAGGAAAGGAGAGGGAGGAAGAGAGGAGGGAGGAAAGGGAGAGAGAGAGGAGGAAGGGAGGGAGTGAAAAGAGGAGAGAGGGAGGGAGGGAAGAATTCCATTACTGTAATTCCCTTGCAAACTACAAGTATAAAATGATCCTTCTCATCACTGTGAGTTCAAGGCCAGCCTGTGCTACATAATGAGATCCTGTCTTCCCCCACATTGATCTTTTTTAAAAAAATGTAATTAGTACAGTGTCCACAGGGTCTCACTGTGTAGATCAGACTCAGTGATCCTGCTCCTAAGTGCTGGGATTATAGGGGCACCACCACGCCCAGTCTCAATGCTGTCTCAGGGTGCCCGGGGGGTGGGGCCCGCACAGAATGTTGGGGATTGAACCCCAGTGCCTGAGTCTGCCTAAGCAGGTGCTTTAGTCCGCTGAGCTATCTGGCTGGCCCTTCACTGATCCTTCTTGACAAACCATAATGATGACCAAAATGACCTTAATGATGTCATTTTATTCTTACATATTTTTAAAAATAAAAGACTGTAGTGAAACATACTTATTTTTCAGCAATACTTAGGGAGATTTTTTTTTCTTAATTATTAATTTATACTAAATGGCTAAAGTATTATTCAGTTTCAGTATTTTGAAAAAACACATGAATGGGGCCAGTGAGATAGCTCAGCAGATTGAGCACCTGCTCTAGCAGACTCAGGCTCTGGGGTTCAATCCCCAACATTTTGTGCTGGCCCTGCCTCTGGGGCGCACTGAGCCAGCAGCCAAGTCCAGGCATGGTGTCACATGCCTGTAATTCCAGCCCTGAAGAGGCTGAAAACAGGAGGATCAGTACGAGACCCAGTAGTGAGACCCTGTACCAAATACATTTAAAAAAAAAAAAAAGAACTACTTTATTTAATGCCAAAATTTATATTTCTTTTTTTCTTTCCTGTATTGCCAATTGATTTACTTCACTTTTTTTTTGTGTATGGTATTTTAGGGAAGGGTCTACATGGTGTTTTAAGGTCTCACTACTAAATAGGACTCCTAGTGATCCCCCTGTTTACAGCCTCCCAAGAGCTGGGATTATAGGCATGCGATTTGGCCGGCCCCTTGATTTACTTCACTTTATTCTTATTCTTGTTCTTATACCTGTATAATTGTGGGCATTATACAAATACCCTAAAAGCACTGACCACGTAAGCTTTGTATTAAAAGACCTCTTTTGCGCATTCTGGAGACTTAGCCCAGGCCTCCACACTGAGCCGCCTGGCCAGCGTCGCTTACAGTGAGGGGCAGTGGTGCCAAGTTAGATGCCCAGGCTCGGCTTGAGCTTTAGATCCTCCTGCCCCAGTCTCTCAGCAAGCTGGGATTAGCGCACGTGCCATGACCTCTGCCCTAAACTGCTTATTTTTGAGAGGAAAACAGCTAATAGTTCAAGATTTCTTAAGCCTCTTTTTTATTTATCCTTCCCCAGATGTGTGGAAGTGTGGGAGGCACACTAAAATCGTCCACTGTGTAAGAGTCTATTAAAACTGGTAGGGAAGGCTGGGTGTGGATGGGTTTCCAAGTTCAATACCAGCCTGAACAATTTAGCAAGACCCTATCCCAAAATACAAATAAAATAAATAGTAAAAGGTCTGGGACGTAGCTCAGTGTTAGAGCACTTGCCTAGCGTGCCTAAGGCCTTTGGTTCAATCCTTGGTACTGAAGAAAATTTTAAATTGATTTTTTTTTCTTTTTTAATATCTATTTATTTATTTATTTTGTGTGTGTGTGTGGCCAGCTCAGCCCACCAGGGGGCAGGGCCAGCTGGCATGTGGTGCTGGGGGATTGAACCGCGGTCCCTGTGCTTTGCTTAGCTTAGCTTGTTTCTAAGTAGGTGCTTTAGACCACTGAGCCATCTCACCAGCCCCTGAAGAAAATTTTAAAAAGAAGGAAAAAAAAAGAAAACCTGTGCTGATTAGATGTTGCCAGAGCACTGGCTTGTGAACCTCAAGATATCTAAAAAGACCACGTGGCGAAGGGGACTAAGATGTAAAAAATGAATCCAATAAATGAAGGCTAAAGTGACAAGAACTGCCGTAACACCTAATCAGAGTTCCTGGTTAAAGGTGGAAGAACAGAAAATAGTAAAGACTTTCCAGATCTGATGAAAGACACGAATTCTCAGAAATGTGGGGTGTGTGTGCGTGTGTGTGTGTGAGCTAGAGTCCATGTAACCAGGCTCAGCAGGCTTCTCCGCTGCAGTCCTGGCCACCACCAGCAGACCCGGCACGGGCCGTGCAAAGGCAGCGTCCACTGGAGTTCTGTATCCCGCTGACCTGCTTCAGATGTGAGGGAGAAACAGGCGTCTGGGCACAGAGCAGAGCTGACCCCGAGCTTCTGAAGGCTCATTCTCAGGAAGAAAGGCAATGACCCCAAAGGGAAAGTGACTCATGAGAAGACGTGCGGGGCAAGGGAATGAGCCGGGTCCAAGGAGAACTGAACGGTTATCCTGGTAGAGGATACTGGCAGTGTGAAGGGAGGGACTCAGGTAGGGGGACACAGGCTGGACACAGCAGAATGCCAGCAGAAAGGTAGCGGAGACAAACCCAAATAATGTCAAATGAAACATGGAAAATAAAGGGATAAAATAAAAATCTGCCAGACAGACAGCCGGAAAGCCAGGATGATCCCAGTGAGCGCATGCGGCTTACCATGTACCCAAACGAAGGCCTCACAAATGTTAATTCACCCTTTACCCCTCTGCAAGGAGGGCACTGCCAGCATCCCAGGAGGGAAGTGGGCCGTGGTCGCAGGGACTCCTGC